AAAAATTATTATCAACAACTGCTTAACTAAATACACGATATATATATATATATTTTTTATTTTACAAGCAATCGAGCCGATTTGTATTTTTAAAAATGTTTAGGGTCAAAATTATTAAATGGGTAAGTCGTTAATTTCTAATATATAATTTATATAATATACTTTATTTATAGAGTTAAATGAATGAAATTTATTATTGTATCAACCTATCATTATATTACTTGTGTTTTGTGATTTTTTTTTAATATGTATATTAAAAAGAATGACGTATTATTATTTTAAAATTATTTTTATTTATTATAATTAATGTGTATATATTATTTAATTAGTAAATATAAAATTTTTGAAAAAAATAAGTAAAAATTGATTAAAATATTTTTACATTTAAATTCATGTAAAAAAATTATAAATTAAAAAAAAAATAAAAACCAAAGTTCCACGAAGGCAGAGGGGTGCGTTCATTGCCAAATGTAAGATAGAAAAATGGTATGACGTGTTCTTTCGCATGCTCCGCTACTTGCACCAACCCCCCTCCTTTCTCCCTCTTGAGTGATGAAAAGTTTCACTCTGATTGGCCGATTGCTTGCCACGTTTCAAAATCCTAATCGTTCAAATCCCCCATAATCCAACGGCTAATTAACGTTCTCAACTAACCCATCGGCTCACCAACCCAACAGTGTCATCAATCATCATCTCCCTCCCCCTCCTTATTCTATTAAACTCCTCATTTTCCCTTCACCACCAGGAAATTTTCACTCCCATTAATTTCCACCCAGAAAATTTCCTTTAAGCAGATATAACTACACCCATTATATATAGAAGATTTTTTTTTTTTTTTGTCCTACCCATATTATAAAAACACTTTCTTGGCTGCCAAACAGTCACCAACCAAAACCAAAACCAGTCCTTTTTTAATCTGCGTTTCTTTCGAGTGATCATCCAACGATGGAGAGCTGCAATGGGAATGGTTCGTTCGAGTTCTGCACGTCAAATCATCATGACCCATTGAACTGGGGCATGGCGGCGGAGTCACTGAAAGGGAGCCACCTGGACGAGGTGAAGCGTATGGTTGACGAGTCGAGAAAACCAGTGGTGAGACTCGGGGGTGAGACGCTGACGATCGCGCAGGTGGTGGCGGTTGCAGCCGGCGGAGGAAGCCAGGTGGTGGATCCAGTTGGTGGTGTGAAGGTGGAGCTGTCGGAGGCGTCGAGGGCCGGCGTTAAGGCTAGCAGCGACTGGGTCATGAACAGCATGAACAATGGAACTGACAGCTACGGTGTCACCACTGGTTTTGGTGCAACGTCACACAGGAGGACCAAAAATGGAGCTGCCCTCCAAAAGGAACTCATAAGGTAAATAAATTTTATTTTTGGTAAAATTTATAAACATTTATTGATATATATATATACACACACACACACATATATATACACGTATATACATACAAATTATAACACTATAGGACACAAATATTAATTGTAACACAATAAAAACATAACCTTCATTCAAATGAAGTCACACTAGAGACAAATATAATTTGAAGGCAAAGAAAGAACATGCCAAAATAATAAAAATAAAAATTTTATTAGATAAACTTAAATTTTTAATAAACATATGTAATTATCATAATTTTATAATTAGTGAGTAATTAATTATGTAATAATTAAAAGAGTATATGATATATATAAACATATATATAATTATAGATATGTATTTTTTTTTTAAATATTTATGAAACATTTCATGTAAAGGAAAGTAGGTGAATTGTTAGTGATCATATGTGTGGTTAGGTATGAAAGGGGACGTATATTTCTTGTTTACATATAAATAAATTAACTAGTTTATTTTAATAATTTTTGAAAAA